GAGTCATGATTCTCATGGATTTGGTTGACACAATGCTTAAGGGGACAGTACTTATCAGTGGAGATTCATATTTCTTGATGTCTGATAACAGATCAAGTGTTTCTTTATCAGGTAGATATCTCATTTTTCCAGTCTTTACCTCCTTTTCCCAGTTAATACGATTCCCATGAGAAAACTTACTATGTTTCTTTGGTTGCACGGTACTCTTACAAATCATTGCAAAGGCATGTAACTTGAATCTCTCGGGATGCACATTTCATATTCCATGTGATGAAGACATTATCCATTTGCCAATATCACATTTTTTACACCACCAATCCACGGGTGCATCTTCATAATAGCTCAGTACGCAATAGCTAATAGGAAGAGAAAAGCATAATTTTTTAAAACATGAAGAGGAATATGTATGCATAAAAGATACCAACAGTATTTAAGAGAACAATGTCACAACATGCTAATGAAAGAATCAAAGTATCCTTTAGGTGGAACCCAGTACTCAATACCATTAGGAACCGAATGCCAGAAAGATTAGACAGTTAGAAGAGGTCTTTACTCTCCAAAAGAGATAATATCACTTCCATTTAGGCTTTTAGTTCTATTCCACTTTTTATCCCTATTTTAGATTCCAAAATAGGGAAGCAAAGCTGATAATCTAACTAGCAATTTCTCCGAGATGAGCAACCTCTTGTGTGAAAAGATCAACTTCTCCCTTAGAAATGACAAGTCAACCAAAAAAGAAGGAATTTGAGATTGGACAATGTTAGAAGTTTACAGAGAACATAAATATGTCATAAGGTGATGAAGCAAGTATGGATACGAGAATCATGGCTTTCAGCTTGCCTGATTTCCCTTTCATTTTGAAATTCGAGAGAGAACCAATTGATGCACGTCAGCATTTTTATATTGATAGAAGGTAATAATTTCTTCTTGAAAATTAGTATCATCGCAAATTTCACATTTTTTTTCTGCAAGTTCATAAGAAAAAGACAAGAAATTTTGAATCGACATTGCCATATGAACAAAATAAAGATTGAGGAAACAAAATGTCATCAGTTACACAAAGGTAAATCATAATCATCAAAATCATGTTTTCATATTCATTTAGCTCACATGCTTATATATGTAATAAATCCCTGTTTTGTACTAGACACATATCCACTCCATTTTATAGGTATAAAACAAATTATTTTCCTAGAATATTTTTTGGTTACATCTCATTCAAATGGAAACACCTCCAGTACTCCTTCTTAAGAAGAACTTTAACAAGGTAAAGCACAGAGTGGTACCACTTTACAATTTTAGATTGATAAAGAAGTGTGTAATTTTCAAACATGATTGCCATTTGTGGCCAGGTAGTAGGACACTATTGTGTAAAATTTCAACCTAATAAACTTGGAAATGATAGAGTTAATATCCCACATCACCTTATTTCTAGAATAAGAACCTCCGTGCAAGATGATGTTTCTCCACTTCCATGAAAATCATAAGATAATATTGAACATAACTTGAAAAACCACTCTCAACCTAATGTTACCTTATGCATTCCACCAATTTTTTCATAGTGTCTAATTTGGAATCCATGGGCTTAAGATCCCAGCTATCCTAAGCACATGAATAATCTCAAATAAAAGCAACCACTTCCCTAGATAGGAAAAGGTAACAACACTGACGCAAATGAGAAATGCTTTAATGATAATATCAACAACAATATGAACTTTATGCTTCGGGACCTTTCAAACAAAAAATAAAATTTTGAAAGGAACCCTATATCTTCGTGTAGTCTTCTAAATAATCAACCCTACATTTGAATGTCTCCCAAGCTCATTTAACTGTGAACTTATCTGTGCTAGATTTAATACACGATGATTTATTCATTTAACCAAATTGCCTAACATATCTCATATTTAATCTGACATACTAGCAGTATTATTAGAAAAATGGTCCTGCATTCATCCAAAATTCCAAACATCTTTTTAAAGAAAATTATTAATATTATCAGTTAAAGTATAACAACCTTACACTTCTGTAAGAAGGGAAAATAAAGGACCAAGATTAATCAAATTATCAAACCATATATATACTATAGAAGATCCTCTTCTTAAACCAAACTTATCACGTGTGGAAAGTGAAATTGCACTCCCTACTTAGAATCTAAAATTGATGAAATGATAGAATTCACAATAAAATCATAAATTTATAAGAAATTTTTAAAAAAAATACTTCTTTTTAACCTCTATGAAATAATTGGATTGCATTTTTTCACCTTTACCGAGAAAAACCTATTGCAACGTGTATCGTGGAATTCATAGTCTAAAATAACTACTAAATGAAAATTATCATCCCCCACACTTTTTTGAACCATTACGATTTTATTAATATAATAAGATACTACTAGTATAAAATATAATTATGCTTTATTGAATAGAAAATAATCCTCGAAACTAGGGGTGTACATGGCCTGGTTGGTTCGGGTTTTTCAAATATCAAATCAAATCATTTGTGTCGGATGTTTAAATTCATAAACCAAACCAAACCAATAAAACTCGGGTTTTTCAACCTCGGGTTTTTTCGGATTTTTCGGTTTTTCGGGTTGTTTCGGATTTTTCCGGTAAAGTATTCATACAAACATATAATTTACTTGTACTTCAAATATTTCTTTAGTTCTACCAAAATACAACTATCTAAGATGTTTCTTTAAAATATAACACAATATGATATGATTAATGACACTAAAATATCCAACAAAAATAATAATAATGAAATCGCGTAAAACAAATATTGCAAATTAACAAGTCATAATGAAAATGATCATAATTTAAAAGTACTAAATCATGCTAAAATTAAGTTTAATAAGTATTAGTTACATGACTAAATATTAAAGGAAATTAAAATTAGATTATGTATTTTAATTGTCTAAACCAATGTAAAACTAAAGAACAAATATTCAATATTATTGTCATTCTTAGTGTTGAATTGATTTTCTTTTTGTATTAGTATTAATTTGATTTTGATTTAAGCTTTATTATAATTACCAAACATCTGTGGACTATAATTTTTATTGGCTCATTCATAATTCTAAGTTGTGGACTATAATTTTTATTGGCTCATTCATAATTCTAAGTTTCAAACTTGAAATAATATATTAAAAGATAAAAACTATGAAAATGTATAAGAAATATTTAAAAATTATATCAAAGTAAATATTTTTATGTATAAAATAAAATTTTAAAATTATATATATAATGTCGGGTTGGTTTGGTCTTGGGTTGGTTTTTTTTAGTTAAAACCAAACCAACCCAAATATAGTCGGATTTTTTTTTTTTCAAAACCAAACCAAGTCAAACCAAACCACTAGTCGGGTTTTTTTTTCGGGTTGACTCGATTTGCGGTTTGGTTTGATTTTCGGTTCGATTTTGTACACCCTACTTGAAACATAAAATAGATGCACTTAATATACTTTATTTAGAATTAGAAATTACTTATTCCCTGTAATAATGGTAATATAGACTTATTAATCATCGTTAAACCTAGTATTTAATTAAACTTGGGCCTTTAATATTTTAGAAGGCACAAATTCAAATAGAAACTTGAGGATTTATACTTCAAACGATATGTAACAATAATGGTAACATAGATATAATCCCCTCAATCATGGCTAAAACTAGTATTATTTTTTTTGGAGTTAAAACTAGTATTTAATTAAGTAAATTTAAAAAGTAACTTGGAGAAATATGCTTCCACACCATATGTAACAACCATCCAAATACCTTCTACCAAACGATCCAAAGCGTACAAATTATTCAAACAAAATTGTAGAATTTTCTTGATTTCTTTGTGTACCTTTTCCTTTCTGACACTTTCTAGTTTCTCCACACTATTGTCTTTTCCATATTATATTCTACACCTATATAGCTTTAATTTTATTTTATTTTGCCAACACTAGCATTTTTCCATAAAAACAACAGTCAATAAAAAATTATTATTTTTGTTTGAACCCCTTAAGAGCGAAATCAAGGATATGATAAAGCTAGAACAGCTATTGTATGAGGTCTACACAATGCTAAACGCAGAGGCACATAATAGATTGATATGAACATTATGAGCTGCCCCGTAATAAAACCAGCATACCTTCTTCTTGATTCCTTCTTCCATAACCAGAGCTCGGAGAAGGAAGAGATAAGAGGGCCCTATGGAAAATGTGGTTATAAATCCATTCAAGTAGAATAACATTCATCTACGCTAGAATCCGACCTACATGAACTTCTTTCTTCTCTAATAATATTTCTAGAAAGCGAAAAAAAAATATAAAAAAAATAGGAAGTAGAATATAAGTGCTAAAGTACCAGCTTCTACTCTTGTGAAAAGTGGCCTGACATCTTCTTTTCTATTTAGAAAGTGAAATTTACCTTCTAGTAGAGCCTAGAGCAAGTTACTTCTTCTATGTGGTTTGTCAGTTATTGCATCGGAGCAGAAAAAAAAATTTGTGCGCGCGCACCCAAAGGCGGCAGCAGCATGTTTCCCTTTGTCGTATAGAAAAATTGAAATTTATTGGTTGAAACTTTGGTGCAAAACTTTGAAGGAAACGGCATGTAAAGTATTAGGTAAATGTATTTTCGTTGTCAATCACGTGGTTGATTTCGAAAATATAGTTAGGCAAGACACTTTTGCATTCATAATGAAGCTTTCCTCATTACGTAGAAGGAAACATACAAAGAGGCTGCTTTCCACCATCCAATTTAAGTGACATATAGTTTCCTTAATCCTAACGTCTCCCGTGTTGAAGAAAAGGACAAATACACATATGTAGTAAATGACCCCAAAACAGCTGCCAAAGGTCGCTATAATCCCATCTTAATGTGTCGTGTCGTGTCGTGTCATGCCATACATTCATTGTATTTGAACATTTTTCAAGAAAATAATTTCTAGAGATCAAACACAAAGATATACAACCTAACTTTTTTTTTTTTTTTTTTTTTTTATTGAATAAAAGACATAAGTACAAACTAACATTTCCACAAGTACAAAACGAGGTTACATTTGGGAGTTAAAGAACAAGAGAGGCCTGCAAAACTAAGGCTTGGTAAAAAGAAAAAACAACCCCAGAGGGTTTGTCATGGCAGAAATGGAACTTGCTGCCATGGCCAAAGCCCATGAAAGAGAGGCATCTATACCTACAACTGCCCAAAAGCAACCACAAGAACAACACACAAACATATAACCCAACCATCACGAGTTGAAAGGTTCAACAACGTGAAAGACTCGGTAAAACTACAAGTTCACACACATAAAACACCAAGACAATATTGAAAAGCTTCTACCGCTGCAAGATTTGGTAATCAATGCAAGGGTAGAAGCTAAAAACTAGTGACAACAAGGACTAGGACTAGGACCAGACATGAATCTCTTAATCCAAAAACTCAGCATTTGTATCTCAGGGAAGTATGGTTGGAAAAACAGGAAAAAAATTTCCCATAAACAGCTTTAGTGAAGAAGCTGCAAAAAAAAGAGAACCAACCACATCCCTGGAAAAAGGAGCCGAGATACTGGACTATTAGAAGACCCAAGATCATGGACCAAAAAACTTTATGCTAACACTAACAAAGAAAGACTAGTTAAACCTCCTTACTAAGCTCCATCTTCAAAGGAGCTCAACTTGTAAGTTGCATTCATCCTTAAACCCTGTGCACTTAAGAAAGGATATCACACCTCCAGAGTTGTTCCAAGAGAAGATCAACACAGCTGCTACTGACCCCATTGCAGTGCTGGATGTTTAAGCCCATAAGTGTCTGCCCCAACTTCTGCAGAAAGGGTACACTTTTGTCCGAAAGCATAGAGCAACCCGACAATGAGAGGATCTGCAAATTAAGTCGCACTGTACTGGCCAAAGAGGCAATACCTGAATCAGTTATTCCACACTTTGAAATATCAAGTTCCTTGAGCAACCAACAGTTGTTGGAAATTACTAACAAGGTCGCATCAGTAACATATCGACACTCATCAACATTAAGAGACTCGAGACTTCCCCCATGCAACTCAGTTATGAATGAAACTGATCTGTCTGTAACATTAACACATCCGCTTAGATTCACCTTGACCAAACCAGCTTCACAGCTCTGAACAAGAGGGAAAAGACCCTCATCAGTTACTTCAAGAAGGCCACTCAACTCCAAATGAGTCAGTTTGGGGCACACCCTACCCACTATGGCCAGCGTAGCATTACCAACTCCAGGGCAGTTGCGAATAGACAAAGACTGCAGTGAGTTGCAAGGTAGCACAGATGGAAATCGACAGGCTAACTCTTTAACACCAAAGCAATTCACCATGGACAGAACCTTTAACTTCTTACCACAGCTCAAAAGAACACCAACAAACCCAGCCTGGGTGATCCTGTGGCATTCTTCTAATTGGAGGTTCTCTAGTGCAACTGAACCTTTGGCAAAAGCAACCAAGCCATTATCTGACAGGATTGTACATTTTCGCAGGCAGAACAGCTTCAAGTTTGGACAACCTTTACCAAGAGCTTCAAGTCCCAAATCAGTAACTCCATGGCAAGCAGTTATAGCAAGCGACCTCAGCTTCTGCAAACCTTGGCCATTACCCATGACCCAAAATCCTCTTTCATTTATGTTTTGAAGACCAATAAGGACTATGTCAGTCACGGCAATGCCATAATGTCCAATAACAGCAAGGGAGATGTCACTGATGTTCAATGCGTAAAGTTTCACCTTTGTCAAAACATGACCAGCAGATGATAAGAGACTTGCAATTCCTTGATCTCCAATGAGTGGGCAGTTTTTGAGAGACACAAACTTCAACTTCGGGCAAAAACGACCTACAGCTTGAAGAGTTTCATTTCCAATCTTTGAACAAGATTCTATCGTTAGAGAGGTCAAATTAGGACAATTCTTTGCGATAGCCACCAAAGACAGATCAGTAATTGCAGGGCATTGGCATAGATCAAGCTTCTCTAAGAGATGACATCCCTGAGCAATCTCAATTAAACCTTCATCACTAACAGAAGATACATTCCAGAGAGAAAGAGCCCTAAGAGAAGGACAACCTCGAGCAATAGCCTTAAGGCCAGTATCAGTCACACCACGGATTGGGTTGCTTCCCCGAATAGAAAGCTTCCCTAACCCTCCATGGCTTGGAGTTCCAACAGCAATAGCAGCAAGTCGGACATCAGTTGCTTTCTTTCCATCAAGGCACCTGGAAAGATGACCCTCTCCTTCAATATCTTGAGATTCAGCATCAGCAACTTCTGCACCATTAGAGTCCAATACCTCACCCTTCTTAACACAGTCCACAGGCTTAACAAGGGCGGTTTGGGTAGATCTTTCCTCGGTCTCCAAAGATGGACTGAGATCTGAGATGACTGTTTCATCCCCGCGGATGCTGCTTAAAAGCATAAGCCAGCGCTTGGAAACGCAAGCAGAGGCACTCCTCTCTTTGCCATCAGAAAGGCGCCTCAATACCTCAAATAGGCATTCATCAGGTAGGACATCAATGGAAGACAACTTCTGCTTCTTTTCAGTGAAAACAAAAGGGACCGCAACACGAGACCTCTTGCAAGGAGGAAAATAGACATCCACATGATTCCTACGGGACAGAAATAGACTGGATTCCATGGGACTTGGGTACACAGCCCCACCATGGTAAAAAGCATCATCACCTGAAGTCCAGAATATGGTAAAGAACATCAGCCAAAGATCACAATTGAGACCAAACAAATCTTGAGAAAGGCCAAACCCACTTCACATACAAGTCTGATCAGATCCAGATTTAGAGCATATATCACAGAAATACAAGATACTCCATATGCCAGGTTAATCAGTTTTGAAGAGTTCTATGAAGAAATATTTCAGTCAAACATGGAAAAAAATTTAATTGATTTTCAACATAAATATCCATCAATGAATTTTCCAGTCATTATTGACCATTTTTTTCCTAGTTTTGCATATCATTAACAAAATATATGGAATTTTGAACTAGTAAAGGAAAAACAAGAGAGATTCAATTGTATCATATCTAGATAGATCAAAGTAAAAATCACACTAGGGCTAAAATCAAGGATCCAGATGTAGAAACCCCACTAGTCTCAAAGAGAAAGTTACATAAAATTAATAACAGATGAACTCAAAAAGAAAAAACCTAAAATCTAAAACACTGGAGAAAAAAACAATAATTAAGATAAAGATTGAATTTTTAAGCAAAACCCAGATAAGGATGAAGATCATACCACTAAAATTGAAGACTTTAGACATGAGTATGGTTGAAAAACACTGGGGAAGTAGAATCTGCACTGTCCAGGACCAAAAAACCCTCTATGGAGAGCAAAAATTGACAGATCAACCAAAAGAAACACAATTAAAAGAGCTTGAACAACTGATTGCATCAGAAAATCAGGTAGCAAGAGATCATTTGGAAACCCTATAGAATAGGGCAAAAAGAGAGAGAAAAAAGAGGTAGAAGGAGGATGAGGTACAAAACAATGAGGTTAGTGTGTGGGTGGTGCTGTCTTCTATCTATATTTTTGTTTGTGTAAAGTGGGGTTAACATTTTCTATTTTTTATTTATATTTTATTATTAGGAAAGAGAGAAGAAAAAGTATCTAATTCAGGTACAATGAACCAAATCTATAAATGATCTTGACATGATGCTATGTTCAATGTTTCTTGCATTTATTTTATTTTTTTAATGGTGGAAAATATTCATTTTATACTCCCTCCGTCCCTATTTACTTGTCCATATTTCCTTTTTTAGTTGTTTCTATTTAGTTGTCCATTTTGACAAATCAAGAAAGGACAACAAATTTTTTCCTATTATACCCTTATTTACACTTTTTGAAAATTGTAAAAGTGTATGTTGTTTCCCTCCAATTTATTTCACTTTAATTCAAATAAGTGGTTGTAATTTTGAAGTGAAAAATTGTCATAAGGGTAAAATTGTAACTTCATTGTGCTAATCATTGTTGCCTTAATCTGTGTGTCATTTCTAAAGTGGACAACTAAAAAGGGACGGAGGGAGTATAACACAATGACCTACCTATAAAGAAAACCACAAATTTCAATGAAATTTGGTGACCATCAAACACATCTATGTGGTTAAGTTAACTATGACAACAGGTTAGTTTAGTTGGGTAAGGAAAGAAAACCATGGATGCCCCAACTGGTATTTAACTTTACCCATTTCCAACATAGTACTTTTTTTTTTTTGGAGGGGGTGTGGGGGTTCAAAGAGGTTGATAATATATATTTTTTCTTAGGGACGTTTGGTTATGCGATATGAAATTATGATATGGTATTATCATATAGAATTATGAGATGAAATTGAAATTTTGTTTGGACAAGCAATATGAAATTTTTGTGTTGTATATTTTTCTCATAAACATAAAAATCTCATAAGTTGTAAAACTATTAAAATAGTCTCAATTGTTTATTCAATCTTATCAAATAAATAAAAATTTATAAAATCGCATAAAAAATTATTACAAAGTTATTTGTTCTCCACTTAAGTAATTGTTTCATCTAACTTTAATTTAATTAAAAAAAATTGAACATAAATTGTAGTGTACTAGTCTTTAATATAATCCTCCCACATAGTACGGATAATTTCCTCACGTTGAACTTGTATTTCTCGATCATGTGACCGAGAAGACGAACCAACATTGTTACTTTGAGTCATTTGTTGGTCAATAATAAATTTTATGTCGGTGAGAATAATAAATTTTAAAAAGTAATGATGTGATTATAAATTTTATTTACATATGAAATAAATGGTCAGTAAACATAAATATGAGGTTGTTTTAACAAAATATAAACTCGTGGATCAATTTTTGTATTAAAATATCTCAAATCATGATATGAAATTCTCATATAATTACATATCATGGTTTTTGGAGAATATGGAACCACATCTCATTATACCATATCATGAGATGAAATCAGTGTAAACTTACATGTCCAAACGCTGATTCCATCTCACGATACCATAGTCAAACGCCTACTTGGTAAGTACATACATATTAGGTAGTAATGTTTCTCGAGAAAATGACATAAATATTCTCTTAACTATAGGAGTAGATCTAAAATGGTCCATTAACTATAGACTTAACAGATTTAGTCCTTTAATTATTCAAAAACTTATCAAATTTGGTCTTTTAACTATACACTAATCGATTTTAGTCCTTTAACTATAAACTTATCGATTGTAGTCCTTTAAGTATTCAAAAACTTATCAGGTTTGATCTTTGTCCATTTTTTTATACAAATAGTTTAGGTTTATATTAACGAAAATCTTCGTGAAATTAAATCTTTAACCCATTTTTTAAGTTGTTTCTCTATCCCCGCCCTTTTTTCTTCAAACTACTCTTATGAAAAGAACAATAACGTCAACGATTCAAAATGAAATTGATGAGGAAAGAAGATATAAGTCCTAATGTTATTCAATGGAGGATAAAATTAAGCATATAATTGTTGTTAATGTCTTGAATCCGCACTTGAATATGCTAATCGGTGTGGATTTTATTTAATTTACTCAAACTTCTTTACGTAAAATAAAATGAATAGAATAATAAAATTGATCTATTTAAAAAAAAAAAAAAAATTGTAAATCTACCATTTTATAAATTTCAATTCTGAAAAATTAAACAAATTCCATTCAATGAAGTCGTTGGAGTACAAACTTTGGATTTAACGGGTAATAATTTTTTTTCTTTTTATGATAAAGTTGAGCATATTCAAGTTATTAGTAGCAATAATATGCTTATTTTATCCTCTGTTAAATAAAGTTATGACTTATATTTTCTTTGCTCGTGAATTTTATTTTAAATTGTTGAGGTTAAGGTTCTTCGCATAAGGTTAATTTGAAGAAAAGTAGCAGAGAGAGAAACAACAAAAAAAATTGGTAAATGATTTAATTTCTCGAGGCATGAATTCCGTTAATATAAACCTAAGCTATTTGTATTTAAAAATGGACAAAGACCAAACCTGATAAGTTTTTGAATACTTAAAAGACTAAAATCGGTAAGTTTATAGTTAAGAGACTAAAACCGGTAAGTGTATAGTTAAGGAACCAAAGCTGATAATTTTTTGAATAGTTAAATGACTAAATCCGTTAAGTGTATAATTAAGGGACCATTTTAGACCTACTCCTATAGTTAAGAGACTATTTATATCATTTTCTCAATGTTTTTCTATCATAGTTAACGAACTAATTTATTACAAGTAGCTAGTGTTACTATTTTACTGATGACAATTTCTCTTTATCGTTTTTAGTAGGGGGTGTTAAAAATTAACCGAAACATAGGTAATCCGCCCAGAATTTTAAGGGTTGGGCTTAAGATAATTTGAATTGGGTTCAATCTCAACTCATTCAAGCCTAACCCATTTTAAGAGAATTATCAATTGAACCCAACTTAATTTCCAATTTCAACCCGCTTTAAAACTCTTTACTAAGATATGTTCCTTTATTAAAGGTATGAATTATTATCTATTTCACATCTTTTAGGATTTATCTATTCATTTGTTACATTTTTTTAGAAAAAGAGTATAAATTATAGGAATCACATAGTGTAAGATCTAAATTACATCATATCCCTACTAATTTTCAATTTACAAAAATCCCTTAAAAAAGGAGGCAGCCGGATACATACCTACCGTCCGGATACATTATATATGATACATTGTAAACAACTTCTTGTTGCGCTTAAAAAGGAAGAAATCAGGTAAAAATTATTTTTACTTATTTTAATTTCCTTAATTAATGCACCTAAATTTATTTTTACTTATTTTAATTTCCTTGATTAATGCCTAACTGATTCTAATCTGTCCATATCCCAATAGGTAACAAATTCACAAATATCAAATTTCAAATTTACATCTTCTCCATTGACAACCATTAATGTCGAAAAAGTGATAATTTCAAAAAAATCAAAAAAGTTGTTGATACAAGATGAATATATCGATTTTGTTGAGGCATTCAAAAATTTGGGTGAACGAGGTGAGTTATGAAGGTTACAAAAGTGATGGAATCTCTAATTTCTTCTCCATGTTCTTGGTATATCTGTATTTTGTCCATTATTCAAAATTGATAAGATTCATAATGAATATTTCCATCTTATTGAGGTATTCAAGAGTCTGGGAAACTGAGGTTAGATATGAACGATATCAAAGTGAAAGTGAAGCAATTGTATAAGGATAACGCAAATTTTGGTGGCTGAAAATACAAAATAAAGAATAATTTCAATTTTGAGTTAAAAGATCTGACAAAAAAATGATTTGTGATTTTGTAGTATTGTATTGTGTAATCAATTCGTCTGCTACATTATGTGTTGTATATGGATAAAATAGTACGAATACATTATGTGTTGTAGGTTTATACATTATATATTTTGTGTTTAATACATATTTTGTATATGTTGGTATTTGTGATTTGAATTGCAATGTGTGTTTAATATAATTTGTCAGATACATGTGTTGTAAGTTTTTTAAAAATAAGATTATATAGTGATTTGTTTGTGATAAATTATTTTGTATATATTCAAATTGGTAAAGATGCATATTGTTGCAAGTTGATACATTACATATTTTTTATTAGATACATTATATAATCATAAGCTTTCCATATACGTGTTGGGTTTTTTGATATGATTTTTCTGATGTGTTTTCAATAATGTATCAGATATATTTGATGTCAGTTGTAAATGTATCGTTCTATAGGGGAGTATTGTGATAACTTAATTTTATGAAATGTGTCAGTTTTTCTATGTTTAAGACATAATTATTAAAGTGTGTACAATATAGATGGACATGTATCTTGTTGTTTTGTTGTGCTCCTTGTATAATATTTATGATTGATACATGAGTTAGTAGCCCTTTTGTAAGGAATTCGGTAAAATTATAGCTATGTATTGGCCAATTCTTGAGTCCGATTTGAAAGAAATTAGGTTGCCACCGAGATACAAGAGGATGCCTGGACGACCAAGAAAATGAAGGAAGAAAAATGCAGATGAAAAGCTAACAACAAACACAAACTGTTGTGGACGTTATGGGCAAGAAGATCACAACAGATGGACTTGTACTTATTTTCTAAAGATGATTGACACAGACTTTCCAATAGAATTTTTTTAGAATACATTGATGTTTCAGTTTTATAATTTTCAATTCAATAATTTTTCACTATAACAGTATATACACTTCAATGTATTGTGTTTTTATGTATCTACGATACAATATATTGAAATGTTGCTATTATGAAATAAAAATTTGTTCAAATTTGTGTTCACTTCTGATTGATGATGATTTAATAACACTGTTAAATTATTAATATTTGTAAATCTGATAGAATGTACATGTAATGAATGGTTTTGTTAAATTTTGATAAATAATATATTTGATACATCATGATTGTGAACAACCTGTCTTTAATGTATCACATATAACATAAAATCTAGAAAATGTATTTGATACATTAAATTATGAACGTTATACAAGTAAGAAATGTAGATTAC